GGGGGAGGGATGGAGTGGGAGTTTGGGGTTAGCAGATGTAAACTATTATATATAGAATGGATAAACAACAGGGCCCCACTGTGCAGCATAAGGAACTATATTCAATATCCTGTGATAAACCATATTGGAAATGACCATAAAAAGAACGTATGTGTGTGTGTGTGTGTGAATCACTTTGCTGTACAGCAGAAATTAATACAACATTGTAAATCAACTATACTTCAATAAAATCAATTTTAAAAAATACAGATTCAGGAGGCCCATCTCTGACCTGCAAAACCAAAATCTCAGTGGTGATGCCTGGAGCCTGTATTTTTTGAAGTTTCCTGTTGATTCTGAAGATAAGCCATGGTAGGAATTGCGTGGCCGCATGTCAAGTGGACAGAGGTGACGACCAACCGTGTCCCCAAACCATGTCCAGGCTCCTTGAGCCACATGTCCCCAGTTTCTCAGTCAATCCTCAGAGCACGGGCAGGAGTGACCCAGATGAAAAGGGAAGTCAAGTGTCGAAAAAAAATGCTGAATTAAGATCGAGTTATTACAGTGACTTTTTACACGGCTTAAACAGATAATTTTATGGTGAAGTGGTTTATGATTTTAGTCTTTCACATACAGTGTCACGTCCTAAAGAAAAGTGCACACACTTTGAATCCGTACGCTCACCAGGAACTTACTTCTAGAAAACCCCACAGATGAGAGAAAGCTGTGTACATAGATGTGTTCATTCGAAATTGTGGCCACGAAACACCAGCTGGAATAGAAGTATTCAACCATAGGACTGATGACCATTTCCTCAAATGAATGTTCAGGGACGACTTAAAAAATGCTGAACAAGCAAACTCTAGGGCCAGGAGAAAATAACTCACATCAGAAGATAAAACTGTACATTCAGGCTCTCACTTCCAGTAATGATGGATTAGATAATGAGCACCACGCTTCCTCTGAAAATAAATTAAAAGCTGGACAAAGTTCAGAGGTACTCTTCCTAAGCGTTAAAGATGGCTTATTGCGAGGGATTCCCAGAATAAAGTCTAGCGGAAATAGAAATCGGGTGGCTGTATTTGCGGGTATCTTCGCCTGGGGTCATTTGCCAATCCTGGGAGACTGGGCAGGTGTTTTGACAGCTTAGCAGAGGAAAGGGTTTTATTATTGAACTGGAATAGAGGTCAACAGAAAATATCCGGACTGAATGTGGAGGGGAAAAAAAGAATAAAAATACAGAAAATAGCATGAGAGACGTGGAACACGGGGGAAAAAAAAGGCTCATGTGTGTAACTGAAGTCTTTGAAAGAGTGGAGAGAATGGACAAATTCAAAGAAAATCCCACGCAGGCACATCGTGGCAAAAAAGGGAAAACCTTGTAAAGGGCCAGAGGGAAAAAGTCACGTTCCCTTCAGAGGAGCAACAGACTTTCAGCAGAAAGAATGGAATCCGGAAATACATGTTTAAAGTGCTGGAAGAAAATACCTGCCAACTTAGGGTTTTACACCCAGTGAAAATACTTTTTGAATGTGAGGCAAAGTAAAGATGTTTTCAGAAAACAAAAAAGGACAGAATTCATCACCAGCAGACCTATGTCAAAAAATATATATATATATGAAATGAAAGGGGGTTTGTTGGACAGCAAGAAAGACTGAAAAAGAGTTGGAAGATGGGGTAAGAGCTACATAATGGGTGACTATGGAGAAGAGCATGGAGGTTCCTTAAAAAACTAAAAATAGAGCTACCATATGATCCAGCAATCCCGTTCCTGAACATATATCCAGACAAAACTCTAATTCGAAAAGATGCACCCCAATGTTTATAGCAGCACTATTTACAATAGCCTAGACGTGGAAACCACCCAAATGTACATCAACAGATGAATGGATAAAGAAGATGCGGTACATATATCAATGGAATATTACTCGGCCATAAAAAGGAATGAAATAATGCCATTTGCAGCAACGTGGACGGACCTAGAGATTATCATACTAAGTGAAGTAAGTCAGACAGAGAAAAACAAATATCATGTGAAATCGCTTATATGAGTCCTAAAAAAATGATACAAACGAACTTATTTACAAAACAGAAACAGACTCACAGACATAGAAAACAAACTTATGGCTACCAAAGGGGAAAGGGGGTGGGGGAGGGATAATTTAGGAGTTTGGGATTAACAGATACACACTACTATATATAGACTAGATAACCAACAGGGCCCACTGTGTAGCACAGGGAACTCTAAGCATCTTGTAATAACCTATAAGGGAAAAGAATCTGAAAAAGAATATATACATATGAATCACATTGCTGTACACCTGAAACTAACACAACATTGTAAATCAACTATATTTCAGTTAAAAAATAAATATTAAAAATTTATATATAATCAAAAAAAAAAAAGCGAGAATGCAGATAGGTCAAGAGGAATATGGGCTGTGCAACCCTGTAAGAGCAACGTCTGGTGGGGTGTTGAATAAAGAGATAAAGTGTGTGCCAGACACGGTGACACAGGAGGCAGGAGGGGCAATGAGCTGACCGGGGCTCAAAGACCCTCCAGGTCAGTGGTAGAGGGACTCGTTTGTCTTGGTCCGTAAGAGGGCAGGGGTGGACAGGGCGTCTCAAACACGGACTCCACAAGAGTAAGGGAAGAGCCTCCACAGCGTAAGCTGGTAGAGGGGAAGTTTGGGTAATAAAAATATTCACTAATAAGAGAAAAGGTGATGAGAACAAGGCTGGGGGAATGACCCCACATGCGCTGAAACCTTGCTGGTGGGGCCCCACCTCCCCTCCTGCTCAGGAGAGGGTGCTGGGAACCAGACTTGGGGGATTTCGCGTATTTGATCCTCCCCCAGGTACCAGCATGGAGCTGTTCGAAACATCACTGAGTTTTGATGATTTGAGTTTGAGAGGCATTTGTGTTTAGGAAAGACTCTGCTTTTTAAAATTAAGGTTTGGTTTCTGAAAGCTGCACATTCAAAAACTTAGCCTAATAGTTTACAGATCTTGTTTTTCTATTCATAAGGCCTGCAAATCTTTTTTTCTTTTTTCTTTTTTTTTTTTTGTGGTACGTGGGCCTCTCACTGTTGTGGCCTCTCCCGTTGAGGAGCGAAAGCTCTGGACGCGCAGGCTCAGTGGCCATGGCTCACGGGCCCAGCCGCTCCACGGCATGTGGGATCTTCCCGGACCGGGGCATGAACCCGCGTCCCCTGCATCGGCAGGCGGACTCTCAACCACTGCGCCACCAGGGAAGCCCAAGACCTGCAAATCTTAACAGTCGCTTTTAAGGGTCTTTGAATACGACAAATCTAATTCATTAAACTTTCAAAACTTTGAATGGTGATAATAAGTGTAATATATTCAGTTCCTTCTTGGGCATTTCAAAAGCCTAGTGGACAAAACCTTCTTAGTACTAATTAATTTTTAGAAATCTAATGATTTCACTTAGAAATGCAACGAGCCCGGAGTTTCTTACATATTCCAGTACTTCCAGATAACATTACAAGACTAAGTCAATGAGTTAATGACATATTTAACTTTGGATTTATGAGACTTTCTTTACAACAGGCCAACTTCTTTAAACATTATGAGACTATGAGACACCAAACCTATCCAGATTTCTTAGTATGAAAGTCATAATTCTATGGCTTTTAGTATATGAATCATTTCTAGACTTACAATCTTCCTGGGTTTATAAGATGCTTACCTACTGAGGAAGAAAAGTGCAGTTTCAACTAGCAGACTTTACTTCTGTTGAGAGACTGTGGCCAGGACCTGGTGGGGTCTGGTCAATCCCAGGTGGGCTGCAGGGACCTCTCCTCAGTTACTGAGTCAATGACCATGGACGTCAGGAAAAGATGTGCACGTTGCCCACATCCCTGGATCACGGGTGTGCCCTCTCTTTAAAAATAGTTATAAAATTGTGAACGTAACATGTACACAAAAGTCTATAAAATGAAAAGTGTAGTCTAGGTATTTTTATTATCGTGTGGCCCACATGCTTGTCATCACCACCCAGAACCCCAAAGGCCATCTGTGTCCCTTCCCAGTGACCACCCCATTCCACTCCAAGGGCAACCACTTTCTTGTTTTCCTGGTATACGTTTACCACCTAAGTAGGCATCCGAAACACAGCAGGTCATTTTTGCTTACAAAACAGTTTTGTACAAGGTGGAGCCAACAGTACATACTCTCGTGAATCCCGCTTTCTCCGCCAGCTGCTGCGTCGTGCTCTGTCCGTCCTGCGTGTGGCCGTAGCTGTCCAGTTAGCACTGCTGCGTGGCTTTCTAGTGCGTGACTATCTCTGCATTGCTATCTGCCTCCTTCCTGACGGGCCTTTGGGTGGATGACAGGGTTTGGCTGCTGTGAAGAGCTTGGCTATAGATATTCTTGGCATGGCCCCTGGGGCACACAACAGTTATTTCCACGTCAGGCAGTGGAATTGCCAGGTTATGGGAATGCGTGTCTTCTACTCTAACAGTTGATGTCAAACACTTTTCCAAGTTAGTGGCATCAATTCGCATTGCTACCAGCAGCATATGAAACCCCCCTTACCCTGCAGCATCTCTGACATTTAATGTTGTCAGTTTTTCACATTTTAGCCGTCCCGATGAGTGTGTCATAGCATCTCGTTTTGGTTATAATTTGCATTTTGCTGAGAACCAACAAAATAGAGAAGCTTTTTATAAACGTATTGGTCCTATGGATATCATTTTTTGTGGAGTGTCTGTTCAAATCTCTTAACCACTTCTTACTGAGCTATTAAAATTTTTTACTGATTGGTAGGAGTTCTTTAAATATTCTCGGTATGAGACCATAGTATTTTTTAATAGGCTGTGGTAGGCAGAATAATGTTTCCCCTGCTGAAGATTTCCTGCCCTAATCCCCAGAACTGGTGAGTATGTCACCTTACGTGGCAAAAGGGACTTGGCGGGTGTGGTTAAATGAAGGATCTTGTGATGGGGAGATGGTCCTGGGATACCCAGGTGGGCCCAGTCGCATCACGTGAGTCCTTCAGAGAACCTGTTCTGGCTATACCCAGAGGGAGATGGGACCATGAAAGCAGGGTCGGAGTGATGTGCTGTCACTACTTTGAAGATGGAGAAGGGGCCATGAACCAAGGAATGTGCCAGGGACCTCCAGAAGCTGGAAAAGGTCAGAAGACGGACCCTCCCCTGGAGCCTCCAGGAGGAACCAGCACTGCTGACAACTTGCTTCCAGCCCAGTCACACCCACGTCGGACTTCTAACCGGCAGAACTTTGTGATAACACGTTTCCTTTGTTCTTAAGCCACTAAATTGTTGTTAATGAGTAGAGACAGCAGTAGAAAACTAATAACCTACGTGTGACCAAGGCATTCTATCCCTCTGTGACTCTCCTTTTATTTCCTACGGTGTCCTTTGATAAACAGAAGCTTTTGATTGAATGGGGTTGAATCCATCAGTCTTTTCCTTTATGCCTGGTGTTTCTGAAGTCCCAGTTAAGAAACCTCTCCCCGGCCCGAGAGCCTGAGAAAACTCTCCTTTATCATCTCCCGTCAGGCTGTTCGCTTTGCACCCTGAGGTCTGCAATCGCCCCGAAGCCGAGGGTTGTGCGGCGTGAGGCCGGGCCCCTCGGGGTTTTGTATGGTGTGTGGACAGCCAGCTGCCCTTGCTCCGCTGGGTGGACGCAGCCCACCCTGTGGATCTGTGTTTGGTGTTTCAGCTGCTTTCCAGGGAAGCTGGCCCAGAGCACTGATTGAAAGCGGGAAGGTCCCTATTTAACTCCTCCCCCCTCTTTTTAATGAGAGTTTTCTAGTCTCAGAGTGACCTGTTTAAAGATGAATGAAGATGCTGTGACCAATATCAGGAAGAAGAAGGTGACTTTGGGTGAGGGAGGGGACATCCCCCCCAACCCGTCGATGAAATGAAGTGGGAGCTTAAGGCTGGGGGCTGATGCTCTGTGGAACAGCCACTTGCCCTCTAGGAACATCAGTGGTTACATCTGCTGAATGGGCTCCCTAACTCTCCCTGACTCGACCACAGCCCCTGCTGTGGATGGGCTCTGGGAAAAATACTCAAAACAGCTGATGTTCGAAGACGCAAATGAAAACTGGGAAGATGTCTGCCAGAAAGCAAACAGTTTTAACACGTGATCCTTCTTCTGGTGAGGCTGTGGGGCACGAGGGTTCGGACCCTTTGATGAGAGAGAAGGGGCTGGGCAAGCAAGTCTTCTTCAGCAAAGGGGCGGCGGGGGAGCATGTGTGCTGGCCTTCGCTGGGGACTGAGTGGGGTTTTGGGAGGCCGCAGGCAGGGGGCCCGGGGAGGCGTGGGGTCGGGCTGCGGGCCCCGCCCACCTAGGTGAGCCGCACCTTCATCGTGGTTGCCTTGTAGCTGTAGTTGTACCCTCTCCACGACCTCCAGTTGACACCGTTGGCATAGCTCGTGTGCGGTCCCCCGAGGTAGCGGCCGTTCAGGTTGGACGAGTGACAACTGTTGTACCACCAGGCCCCCTGGAACTGCACTGCACAGTTAGAGGAACTCTTGTCGTTGTCTTGGTCTTTGGTGGAGAAGAACTGGTCCTTGTGGGGCGTCAGGGAATCACCTGCTCAGGAGGGAGTGGGGGTATTGCTCGGGCTAGAGGGAGCCTGCCCTGCCGCCTGCCCAGCGCCACCTCCCTCTAGAGACGTGTGAGCTGACGTCCAGGGCGTCAAGATCCTGCCTCACCCTGGGGCAGATGGAGCCACCTGGTCCAGGAGCTCGGCCCCAGGGCGCATGCCTCCCTCCTCCAGCCTCACCTGTTTCCTCCCGGCTCCCCCAAGACCACCAGGACCTGCGCCGTCCTCTCCCCTGAGGTGCCCTCCCTTCCCCGAGCCTGCATCGCTTTTCTGGGCTTCATACCCACTCCCTGGGTTGCGCGGTCATCCCAGAGGGACAGCACGGCCTCATCCCGGGGCCCCCTGCTCCATTTTCAGCCCTGGGTGTGCAACTCACCCCAGTTCCTGTAGCACCCCACTGCCCTTCTCACCCCTGCCAGACCCTCAGCTGTACCACCTGCAGCATGGAGAGGAGGGTCCCTGCCCTTCTCCTTCCCTGGAGGCTCAGAGGAGGCATGTGTGGCAAAGGGGTGCTTGAAGGCTCCCATTAGCAATACTCCCCCCCCATGCCCCGGGAGGACCTTGCTCTCTGCAGCTCTGGTTCAACACAAGCAGACAGGCTCCTAGCACCTTTCCTGAAAGAGTGCACACTGGGAATTCTCAAGAGGGTGCGCCATAAGAGATGCCTCCCCACATCCTGTGACCGGGGTGTCTTTTTGGCAAAGAACATCCCATAGGGTTTGTGTTCCGTGGAGCCCAGTTTGGGAATATGGCTCTAAGGGCTGACGTGACCGGCCTCTTCCAGGTGTTAGCAGGGAAAGGGGTCAGTGACCTCAAGCTCCACTCAGAGGAGCTCACTGCTCTGCAGACACAGCCTTGGGAGCGGTAACTGATGGCGTCACTGGTCCCCATGCTACAAAGAGACTCAGGTACCTTCGTGTCTGCATCCAAAGACGGAGAACCTGGACCCAGGGAGTGGAGCCCCAGCCCAGGGTCACTCACGGGAGACAGAGCCAAGATGCTAAGCAGGTTCTCTGCTTCCCCAAACCCCGCGTTGAAGCCCAGGCCACTGCTGTGCCCCACGCGGACTCTCACCTGCACTGCCCCCGACAAAGGCTCCCAGGACCAGCTTGTACTTCTCTGCCTCACCCGCCATCTTGAATGACTGGTACTTGGCAAATTGGTGGTTGCCCTCAAAGTCCACGAGGTCTACCCGCAGCTCGCTGCTTCCTGTTGGAGGTGGGTGCTCAGGGCCCAGCAGAAGGGACCCTCTGCCTACAGGCACGGGGGGTGGGAATGTGGGCTTTAGGGGACGTCTGAACTTGGCATCGGGACAATTCACCGGGAAGGTGTGAGAGGCTGGGCTGGTGGGAGGACTTCAGGGATGCCTCCCTGTTTTCAAATGGCTCCCCTGCTGCTCCATCAGCCATGCCTGAAATTCCACCGTCAGTGGACCTGGACGGAATGAAGCCTCGCTCTAGTGGGAAACCCTAAATTCTCCTGCAAATAGCTGTGAATGCCACGGCAGGAAACCTTTGTATGTGTGGTTTCTTCTGCAAGGATTTCAGGCACATGAGTGGACACCGTCAAGGTTGCCATGAGGGAGTGGAAGGAGTAAGAAAGGATTTACACGTTTGCCGTTGAACTCAGGACCAGCTGTGAAGCTGATTCTGTGGAACGGAGAAGTGGGGTGAGGGGGCCTGCGTGGGGACCGCCACATGCACTGAGTGGGAGAGGCAAGGGAGGGGCTCCGTGGGCCTAAGATCCCAGTTTCAAGGAAGGACCAACCGTTGGAAGTGGGAGAAGGGCCACCCCGATCCAGATGGCCTCCCCCTCACTTCCGACTCTCGGGTTCTAGACACGATCGGTCCCGAGACCAGAAGTCGTCTTCACTCCAATAATCCACCTCCTCCGATTTGAACACTCAGAGAGTGTAAGAGGATACACGTCCTAGGTTCTCAGAGTAATAACCCCTCCTGCTGTCACACGTGACCACCCCGGGGGCCAGGGGGAGCGGGGTCCTCTGGCCCACATGGCCCAGGGCTGAGGTCAGGGGCATGTGCATTTCAGGCACCCCACCACAGAGCCCCCGGCCGCGGCCCTACCCTGGGCGGTCAGGGCGTGGATGTTTTCATTCCCCAGCCAGAACTCTCCCAGCTGACTGCCGAAGCCCTGCTTGTAGGCGGCCCAGTCCCGGTAGAAGTCCACAGAGCCGTCGCTCCTTCGCTGGAAAACCTGCACACGATGGGGAGGGCTGGGGAGACGGGGCCCCACTGCCGTCCCCCCACAGGGCACCCCGGCCGCACGCGGGAGCAGCGCTGGTAGTTCACAGGCATCACAGGCTGAGGACCAGAACGCGGGTCTCTTCCAAGAGCCCGGGGGCCGCCAGGGACCCCACGTGGGACCAGGGAGGAGACGGAGGCTCAGAGAGGGCAGGCGACAGGCCCAACGCCACACAGCTGCAGAGGGGTGGGCACCTCCGGGCCTGAGCCCACAGCCCTGAGCCACGGGACTCCTTCCCGTGTGGGTCCACAGCCCCCTCCCCCCGACATTTCTGATTCTCCCGACCTCAGTGAAAGGACGGGGGCAGCCTCTGCCTGGAAGGAGTGGACGGTCACAAAGGCCACTAAACAGTGCTCTGCCACCAGGTGAGGCTCCCAGGCACGCCCACCCCTGCCAGGAACCCCACGGCCATCGCTGGGTGAACCCCACGGCCATCGCTGGGTCCCCCCCACTCACGGTCCACCCCCCGCCGTCCACGTCCATGTCACACAGCACGGTCAGGGGCCGGCAGTCGGGCAGGTAGATGGTGTGCCAGCCGCTCAGAAAGTGTCCCCTGGTGAGCAGCTCCTTACAGGTCCGAGGTCCTGGGAAGGGAAGCCGGGGAATGGACACCAGGACAGGAGCTCTGGGCGGGCAGGGGGGAGGGGGAGGGGGAGGAGGGAGAGGCAGGGACACCTGCCTGGGGGAGGTGGGCTCTGAGTCCTGGGACAGAGACGCGGCCCCCAAGGCCACCCGGCTGTGACGGCCAGGCCCCGACGACCTGGCCATCCCCACCTCCCAGGGCTGCCCCCGCCTAGTCTCCTGGGCACCTGGCCTCCTCCAGGAATATACTCGAGTTATCCAGGCAATGGCTGCCTATCACTCGGGTAAGTGGGGAGTAAGATATACGCAGAGAGGGTTTTGTCCTTGGAAGGTGGAACCTGAGTCTGTGCAGCTGGCCTTCTGGTCGACCCACCCCTCCCCCACCCCCAGCAGGAGCAGGTCCAGGCGGAGGTCCGGGGGTCGGCGTGTGCGCAGTCACCTGTGGCACAGGAATGAAGCTCTCCCGGATCTCCTGTTGTGGGGAGCGAGGACATGCACGTCACACGTCTGGAAACAGCGCCCCCACCCCTCAGCCCCGTTGCTCCGTGACCACAGCGTGGAGAAAGGAAACCATTATCCAGCTCTTTGCAGGACTCTCAGCCTCCAGCCCTGCGGATCAGCTCCTAGACTCAGCGTCCCTGAGCTTGCTCGGCCCCCACTGCATCCGGCCTGCCTGGGGGCTGGCGGCCAGCACCGTCCCGCGGGGCACTGGCTGGACCGCCGTGCCGGCCACCTCGCCTGGGCTTCACGGCTCACGGCGGTGGAGGTGCAGCGCCCCCAGGCCTATCGCTTTCCACAGCCCATGTCTCCAGCACAGCCTCTGCTTGTGGAAAGTACTGGGGAGCATTTGGGATGTGGGTCTGGGCCCCAACCTCGCACTTTGTATTTGTAGCCAGAGCATGTGACTGTGTCTTGGCGTTTTGCCTTTTCTTGCTTTTACAAATTTTTAAATAAATGAGCATAAATCAGAGCATTATAAGCAAAATGTCCAAAATCATGTAGCAAAGCGGTATCGCCAGTCACCTGGGTCCAACTCCGGAGCCTCTGGGCTTTGAGCGCTCACCGGCCGCTGACAAAGCAGGCCGGGCTCAGGGGCCCCTCCTCCCGCACCCATCCGCTGCAGGGCCAGGGCCAGGGCTGTGGTCTGAGTTCCTCCCCCAGATGGTGGTAGCCGTGACCGAGCTCTCTGGATGCCCCAGCCCCCTGCAGAGCCTGCCCAGTGACCCCAGGGAGGCGGAGGGGCTCACCTTTCTCTCCGCCTGCGCCCTTTTCCCCTCGGTCTCCTGGGGAGAGACAGGAGATGCACAGGACGTCTGGTCAGTGGACGTCGACCCTCCGCTCTGGAAACCACCCGAGTGCTCACTTCCTCGGGAGCTGGGGCCTGGGGGGCGGGGCTGAGGCTCTGGGCACCACACGTGCATGCTCCGCGGCCCACACTTTTCCAATGCCTGGGTCTCAGCCGGGGGAGTTGCGGGGGGCGGGGCTCAGAGGCCTGGATTCTTCCCTGGGTTATGAGAGGCTGCTCTGGACCTGGGGCCCCGGACCCGGGACCCCGTTCACACACTGTCTCGAAGCTCTTTGGAAACAGGAAATAGGACAGGTGCCTCTCTCACTTGGCCCCCCTCCCTCTCTCTGTCTCTCTCCCATCTCTCTCTCCACCTCCTCCCTCTCTCTGTCTGTCTCCATCTCTCATGTCTCTGTAGACAGGCCCCGGGGTCCTGCTCAGGGGTCCTAGCTCTTCATCACCTTTGGTACCTTTGGGCCCGGCCGGCCCTGCCTTCCCAGGGACTCCGGGAGAACCTCGCTCTCCTGTAAATTCCAAAGATACATCATTGAGGAAAAGGCAACCTGAAGAATTCTACTTGAGCGTCTCTGCCCTAAGGATACAGTTCCGACCCTCCCATCCCAGCTGCGGTATCCTCAGGGTCACTGCCCTGGGACTCAGCCCGAGGGTGACAGCAGGCGGTGAGGACAAAGCGCTCACAGCCCCCCGGTTCCGACCGGCCGGCGCGCCCAGCTCGGGCTCCAGGAACCACCAGCGATCTGGCTCCCGACCAGCTCAGTGTAGCAGCCCAGGTCCAGGCCACCGTCACGGAGCCCCCCGGGGGCCTGGGACCAAGAGTACGTCCTCAGAGACCCTGTCACACAGGACCCTCCGGCCCCTTGGCTCTGGGAGGGAGGCGGGGCCCTGCCCTGTGCTCAGCCCTGGACGCAGGGGCGGCCGGGCGCAATTATGCCTCCCTCTGGGGTGGTTCTCTCTCCACCTCCAGAGAGGAGGGGTCGGGAGCCACGAGGCCTCCCAGGTCTGCGTTACTGATGTGAGCAGGGGGCTAGGACCACCCAGGGCCCTGCCCCTCCTCCTGAGCACTGAGGGGAGGGTCAGGAGAGGCGGCCCCAGGCTTAGCCAAGGCAGCAGGAGCGTCTGTCAGCAGGCTGCCCTCCCCAGGGAGTGTGGGTGTGTGGGGTGGGGCCGAGGGGGCACCGGCTCGGCTTGGGGTGGGCCAACCACACCCACTGGTGGGCAGCCGCCCCAGCCCGGCCCCTCCTCCCAGTGTCCCCCCGGCAGGAGCCCCAGCCTGGAGCCCATCGTGGTGAGCACACGCAGCCCTCCCATCCCCAGGAGCTGCCCTGGGTGCCCACGGCCCCTGAGCTGGATGCCTCCCAGGACGTGAGAGGCTGGGGACCTCCGAGCTGGCCCTGTGTCCGCAGCCCTTGGAGCACCCACTCACACACAGGTCCGGGGCACTCACCCCTCAGCTGCGTGCACACCTGCCCTTCATACCAGGCTCGGGGCCCGAAACCCCACAAGGGGGCCGCCACATCGACGAGAGGGCTGTGGAGCGCTCGGGGGCCTTCCTACTGCGTTGAGGTCCAGCCCCACCCTCCCTGCTGATGGCTGACTGCTCTGAGCCCCAGCTTTCTCATCTGCGGTAGAGACAGAAAACGCTGGGGCCGCAGTTTTCAGGTGAGAATACCGGGGTACGTGTGGCTTGGAATCTGGCCCACGGCCACGTAAAGCCAGGATCGAGGACCGGGAAGCGGGTGTTCTATGGAAGTGGACCCCGATGTGAGCTCATAGACTAGCTGCGACCAGCCCCCTCCTCAGGGAATGACAGATCCCGGTGGGCCTCGGGGGTCGCTCCTGACGCCAGCTCTGAGCAGGGTCATGACCCAAGCTCCCGACCTGAGACCCGCAGGGGGCAGTGCTCACCCGGGCTCTAATTTGAGAAGAGCTGGTGCTCAGTGACCCCCACGCCCGAGCGCAAACACGTACCCTTCTGTCCATTGGTGCCTGCCTCTCCTTTGGGCCCTGCGGGTCCAGGCAGCCCCGGGCAGCCTCGGAGGATGGAGAGCTTGTCGGAGCCCTCCAGACCCACCAGCTTCACCTCTGCAGAGAGACACAGAGCGCCGGTCAGGGCACTCGTCCTGGGCCTGAGAGCCCTGCAGAGCCGGCGACAGGCCACCCGAGCCACGGGGATCTGCCGCGCGGCGACCTCGACCTGGGCCCTTGGCTGTGGCCCGAGTCACCCGTCTCAGATGAAGGGTCAGCCTGGCAGTGAGTTTCCCGCTTCTGGTGGGCACTGGTCAGGTGTGGAGGTGATGCAGGGCAGAGCCCTGGCCTTGTGGTCCACCCTGCCTGAGCCAGCGTCCCCACAGTCTCAGTGCTGTGTTTCCTTGGCCAAGTCACTCAACCCCTCTGAGCTCTGTCCCTTCGGTGCCCAAGTGGAGACAAGAATAGGGCTGTGGGGAGGATTAGATTAGATAATGCAGAATTTAAACTTCTTAGTATAATTCATGGCATTTTAAAAGAACCTCATAAACAGTGAGTGCTTTCACTAAATAACAACAATAAATATTTAAATGACTTGGGGAATCTGGGTCAAAGTAACATTTTCACCCCCAGACCTTGGACTTTTGACCATAGAATTCCTGAACTGGAAGGGGTCTGTGTAGGTCCCCTGGAGAGGGGACACATTTGATCCAAGGACACAGAGCAAACTCCAGTAAGAACTGGAACCAGAGATTCATTTCCTTCTCAGAAAAAGATAGTTAATTTTGTTGATTTCAGAACTGAAATATCGTCACGAGAGACAACTTAGAGGATGTGGGAATCAGCTGTGCTCTCACCGGAGACACAGGCAACTGTCGTTTCGGGGTCTGTCTCCAGCTGCGACTCTCTCACGGGGGCAACCTTATGCTTCCCCCATAAATACGTCCTCCACTCAGGGGGAGGCGGGTCTGTCCTCAGGGGCATCCTCTTGCCAGGTGTGGGCCCCATCCACCTGCGTGGGATCGGGAGGGAGACCACAACCCCCTCTTAGACCCAAATCTGCCGAATCGCACTCTCTGGGGTAAAAGCCAGAAATCTGCACTAGCAAACCCCAAGTAAACGTGGGAGCCCTTGGATCAGAACATCTTCCAACATCCTTCTGAAAAGTCCAGGAGAAGACGGAGAAAGTGATGGGCATGGTCCTCCTAGGTGGCAGCGTCGAGACCTGGCCGGGAAGCTCGTGGGGAAAATCACGGGCTTGAGAGTTGGACAGACCTGGGATTAAATTCCTGCTCCCCCCGCTCTGACCTGTGTGACCTTGGGCCTGTGGTGTCCTAGTCTGCTGATGAAGTTGAGCTGTTGAGTCTTCAGAAGAAGATGCCTACGGAGGGTTTAACCCTAGATACTATTTGTGGTCAATGAGTGGGTAGTTACCAGCTCTGAGGGACTGGAAATTCAGGTCCATCTCACCTGGACAGGTGTCTGCAGTCTGGGCGGCCAGGGTCCTGAAGCACAGGAGTAAAAGGAGCTGGCTGGCGGGCCCCAGGGCCACGGCCACTCCACTCAGCTCCATGTCCTCTGGTCTCTGACCTTGCTCTTGTGAGCAGGGGAAGCCAGCCCTTGCCTGGGGCCTGTGGGGGACACCCACTTCCTGCAGCCTCTTTGGTTACACCAACAGGAGGTACCAGTGATGGCAAAGGGTGTTTCCTTCCTGCTGGGCCCCACCATGCTGCCCGCTGAATCAGGCTCACTTCCCCTGGCAGGATACTCTGTTCCCAGTCGAGAGAGCTCCCAGGACCCCTCTGTGGGAAAGGGTCTGCCTTCTTTGTGGCTTAAGGAAAGCCCAGTCCCCCAGACTCCCTCCTCATTACCCAACTACACCCAAACAACACTCTGAGGCCTTGACTGGGGTATAAGGAGGCATTGGCTAGAGATGCTCCTTCCCTCGCCTGACTTCCAGAATATTCTAATGACTGAGGCAGTCCTTGAGCACTTAACACAGCGGAAGAGAAAAAATTCCGAGCACTTCTTATGTGCCAAATACTACTTATGCCAGCCCCATTCGGAAGACACTATTATCTAAATGTCACAGGTGGAGAAACTGAAGTCACACGGTAAGAGCCTGACGTTACCTCAAGTCTGTCTAGTGCTCCAAGGGCCACTGGGTCTGGTCATTACACCAGAAGGCGAGGCTATGTCTTATCTCCCCCCAAATCCCAGAGGCCATCCTCCACATCTTGTAGTATGATCACCCTTGACCGGGACATGTGGTGGGCATTCCATAAAGGGCTTCTGCAGATGTGTAGAATGTCACTAAGGAGAGTAGGAAGAGGACAAGAGGGGAGGAGCTGAGCGTGAAACTCTTCTGTGGTTTGATATTTTTCCGGGCCAGTGTTCGTGGGCTGGTGTCCCAACCACATCCACTGTCCAACTAGGAAAGAAGCCGGGGACGGCCTGACCAGAGGTTTAGCAACCACCTCTATGGGCACTGGAATGACACTAGACTTTGCAAATTTTTGTGAGGTGGCCCCAGCCCACGGAGACTGAGGGAACAAAGAGGTCGTGTTGCCTCAGGCGTTGCATTGCCTCAGGCACCGCTCAGCCTCCCTGAGCTCCTGGACAGGGCAGCCTGTCCCCAGCATGGGCCTGGATTTCATCTGTTGGAGAGGGGCCCATTCAGGGCTGTTCACCTGGCCTTAGTCAGGACAGGGAGAGAGGCAGCCGGTCTTCGTCCTTCAACCCCATCTGCCAGTGACAACCCCCCACCCCGATCCTAGGGTGCTTCCTCTTTTTCACATTGCCAATAGAACGGATGCAGGTGAGATGTTGCCAGCACACTCAGGTGTCACTTTAATGTTCCTAAGAGTATGTGGGCCTAAGAATACAAAAGAATGCAGAACTCTGCCAAGTTCAGACATCTTAAAGCGGGGTCAGTCAAGGTCATCTGACTTCTGACAACGGCAGGTGAGGTATTTGGGGCCATCTATCCTCATAAAGACAAAACATTAAAAAAGAGATTTGCCTGAAGGCATAGTCAAGTGGACCATGTAGGAATGGGTTACTTTGCTATGAGCAACAGAGATCTGGAGAGGGGAAACCAGCATGTGGGGTCTCTTTTTGCCAATCCCCCAACGGTAGCTGAGAAGCTGGTCAGTTACCTCGACAATTTTGCAGCATTGAAGGTCAAAGTTTGGGGTCTGTGTTCTGTCAAAGGAGTGGATTTGGGGTGGGATCCAGAGGCATTTCTTCCTAGAAATAAGGATGAATCATCAATAGGCAGACCTAATGTGGACTGCAAACTGGTTTTGAGACATTTAGGTGTCCCAGGAAAAAAAATCTCAACTCCTGAAATTCTAATAAGGTCTTCCTTAGATCACTAGTATCCACTTGCTCTGAGCTGAAACCAACACAAATCTTGTCAGAAGGAGAACAGTATGACCCCAGGATTTAAATGATTTCTGCAAATATATATATTTTCCAAATTAAACCATAGAACCTAGGGTTCTGAACACCGTAGAACACAATAAAAGATAACCAGGTTCATGAGGATAAAAGACAACATGTACAAGAACAAATAGAAACAACAGAGTATAGAAACAGATCCCCAGAAGCTACAGATACTGAAACGACAACATAGTTAATGGTGAAAATTGAAAAGCGTCCTCAGAGATTGACCACTTCTGGTCAACATTGTGTCACTGGCAGTGCAGTAAGGCAGAAAAAACAAATACTATGTAAAAGAATTGGAAAGGCAGGTACAAGGCCGTTATTATTTTCAGAAGATACGATTTAGGTAGAAAATTCAGGAGAATCTAAAATTAAAAGTTTTAGAATGAATAAGCTTAGTAAAAACCAATTATGTTCCTAAAAGCTAGCCAGAAAGAATTACAAAATAAAATTTTAAACATTTGCAATAGTGAGACCAAAATCAAGTAACTGTGAATAGTTCCAGCAAAATACACGCTAGTCCTCCATCTGGCAGAAGAAGACCGTCAGATGGGAATGAGTGATGTTTAAAAAGATTAGGACAATTGGAAGAATATTCTCCGTTCATGGATTCAAATGCTCAATATTGTAAAAATCTTAGTTTCTCTCTCTTTGATACGCAGATTCACTGCATTAGCAATTAAATGCCCATTTTGTTGGGAAACTTGACAGGGTGAATTTGAAATTTGTTTAAAAGTTGAAAGGCCAATAATTAGGATGTTTTGAACTAGAACAAGGAAGGATGACTTGCTCTGCTTGAGGTCAATAATTGTCGCGAAGATATAGTCACTGAGATGGTGCGGTACCGGCTCCAGGATCCAGACTAAACCAGCAGAACTGAACAAAGGGTCTAGAAACAAATTCAGGCGTAAACGGACCCTTGGTGCGTGACAGGGGTGGCTCTGCAGAGCGATGGGGAAACAATAAACTTTTAAAAATTGAAATATAGTAGATTTACAATGTTGTGTTAATTTCTGCTGTACAGCAAAGTGATATGGTTTTATATATATATATATACTTTTAGAAATTCTTTTCCATTAGGGTTATCATAGGATATTGAATATGGTTCTCTGTGCCATACGGTAGAACCTTGTTGTTTATCCATTCTATATATAATAGCTTACATCTGCTAACACCAACCTCCCACTCTATCCCTCCTCCAACCCTCTCCTTCTTGAATAAACTTTCAATAAACACTGTGAGCTACTGGGTATTCACATGGGAAAACCAGAAATGAAACCTGACCCTAATCATAAAAAAAAATCAATGTTGGCAGAATTATAGACCCAAATGGGAATAGTTTTAGACCACATTGTAAGATATCAAATAACCTTGGTGAATGTAGGAATGAAAAGCACTAAACATAATGGAAAAGTCTGAAAATTGACGTTGAAATTAAGAACTTTGGGCTCTCAAATGATACCCCCAAGAGAGTGAAAAGACATGCCGGGGGCGGGGGGAGGAGGTATTTGCAACACACAGAAGTGACAAAGTGTCGTATCCAGGATAAATAAGGAATTGCTGTAAATCAATACTTCTGCAGAAAGCGGCCAAGTGCCTTATACAGACACTTCCAAAAGAGAATATTTCAATGGCTGATAGAAAAGTGAAATGGTGCTCAACTTTATTAGAAATCAGAGAAATGCCTGCGTGTACCTGCTCGACATCCCACAGCCTGGAGCTCAGTCCTCCTCCACTGCAGTGCATGTCCAGGCACAGGAGACACGTAGAACAACGTCCCACTCCAAACTACAGCAACCCAAATGTCCACCCAGAGCAGGATGGACCCCTGGCCTGAGGGGTGTTCAAGCCGGAGAAACCTGCACAGGGTAACGGGACAAATCTCTGCTTCCTCCGAACCATCGTGGAAACTCACGAACACGGCACTGAGCAGAGGAAGCCACACGAGGGAAGAAACATTGTTTGATTGCATTTGTAAGTAAATTTCAAAAGCGGGCAACTCTGCACAGCCGTAGTGGGGGTGCCTGCTGAGTGGAATGTGGAGAGAAGGGCAAGTATGCCCCCAGTCAGGATGGCAGCCCCCTCGGGAGGGGGGCCTTGGCATTGGGAAGGGGCTCGGAGGCTGGCGCTGGGCTCCGGCTTCATCTGGGTCGTTTCATGCGCTCTGGTGAGGAGGTGTTATCTTCCACTTCAGAAAGGAAGTTTAAATAAAATGAAATGGAGCGTGCAGAGGCCTCAATCATTCTGTATTGCTTCCTGCAGCAGTGCAGCCGTCCCCAGGAAGCACAGAGATTTGCAAGGGCCCCTTGTCCTGCCTAGCTCCTGGGATGCTGGCTGTCACCACACAGGTGTGGCTCGCTACACTGCATTTAAGGGGAGGTGGTCCCAGGGGGCCGGGGACTCCCGCACACCTGCCCTCCATCCCGGTACCAGGGGCTGCACAGTGGAGCTCTCCTGAGGGCTTTGCACGTGACTCCACGGTTGCAGGAAGGATGTCAGAGCGCACCCGGTGATACTCTCTCTCCACCCAGGTCCTGGCTCGGGGGTAAAGGACCACACCAGCCGCCGGAGCTTCAGGAGCTCCAGAGCGGGAAGGGTGGGTCTGATTTAGGGTAGGTCTTCCAGTGGGGCCTGGGACAGGGGGTGCCACCTCATTGTTTAGGACCGGTGGATGCAGCAGAGAAAGGACTTTGAGTCAACGGGAGTCCAATCAAACTGCTGATTTCTGTTGATGAGTTGTTGGGTCTTTGGGGGAAATGCAATGAGTAACGACAGCATTTGCAGGTTCCATCTTTCTGTGCAAGAGTCTCCAGGAATAGCAGGGCACCTGGGAGAACAGGTGTAAACCGCCCCCCGCCCCTGCAGAGAACTGGCTACTCCAGGCCACCAGAGCCAGCCTCGGGGTGTGCCCCTCCCTCCCAGGAGTAGGGCGTGTTCCCCGAGCTGGGCTGTCCCCTGTCTCTCAGCTGGTCCTCCTTCCTTTCTGCTCCTGGAAGGACTCGTGTCTGGAGGGCTGCAGGAAAAGGGGCCACATGCCGGCCGGACCTGGTGGGGTCCTGCACACAGTACACCTGAGATCCCCCTGAGGCACCTTTGTTTGGCTGTGAGGGCCATCTACACCTGGACCCTTCAGCTGGGGGAGAGGCTGCTTGCCG